TAATTAATCGTGTGTCCATTTGTATGCACAGTTTAAAGCACATTGCAATTTGTCATGTTACTCATCAGTAGAACTAATTAACATGATTTTTTATCATCATAAAATTATATATTTTGAAATACTTTTTAGAGATTCAGGAAGATCATTTATATAAAGTATAAAAAATAATGGGTGCAAAATTAAGCCTTAAGAAACTCCACTGTAAATATTTAAGCAAGTTGAATATAATCTTTTACAACTACTCTCGTCTATAGGTAAGAAAGCTCAAAAAATAATAATAATAATAAATCGCCAAACCACTAACTCTTCATCCTTTAATTTTTGAATAAATCTATGATATGAAACGGTATCAAAGGTTTTTGTAAAATCAAGTAAAATAATATCGTCTGGAACCCCTTGATCTATATTTTTTGTAATATAATTCAGAGTTTTAAGTAAATTTGGCGTACATGACATATTTTTAGTTAAACCATTTGGTTAATTAGCTATAAAGTTATTTTTGGAAAGATATTTCTCAAACTTTTGTTATGCCTAGAAATATTTTAATAATAATACAAGGAGGTGATATAGGTCTGTAATTTCCAGAATAAGTTATTTTTATATAACGCAATGAATTAAATTTGGTAGTTGACTTTTTTTTCCACTGACTCCATGAAAATTAGTGTGCGAGCAAAAGCAATGGCACAATTTTTTAATATGATGGATGTAACTTGTCGAAAACTTGTTTACTTTTGTTTTGATAAAGATTTTGTTTAGCTTTTCAAAAGCATTTCATAATGAGTATCCTGTGGAATTAAATTAAAGGTGATATCATTAATTCTTGATTTAAAATATTGAGTTCACTTTTCATTTTCTTTGATAAAATTTTTTTTTATATTTAGTAATCCAGCTATTCTTTTGAATCATGATGAAATATGAAATGATCATGAAACATTTTACTGCTTGATCGTCGCATAGCATAAAGCTAAACAAGTTCACTATTATTTACAATTATTATATTTTTGTTACACTCTTCTGGATCATGATGAAACATGAAATGATCATAAAATATTTTACTGCTTGATTGTCGCATAGCACAGAGCTAAACAAGTTCACTATTATTTACAATTATTATATTTTTATTACCCCTTTTTTTTATTTTATATTGACTGACTATTCAGGGCCGACGACAAAGGTTTCAAAGTGGAGGGGCACAATCGTCAATTTTTTAAAAAATCCTCTACATCGTAAAAAAAATGTCCTTTAGAAAAAAAGTGAGGGGGGGTACGGACTATTTGAATATTAATTTTATATAAATACTTTAAACTATTAGAACTTTATATTTAGAACTTTTTCTTTTCATATTAAGTAATAAATAGTTAAGTTAACAAGTTTAATAATTAATTGTCAGGAAGAAACATGTTTAGACAAAAATAACCTTGGTGATGTAATAGCTACTCAACTTTTAATCCGAAATTCATTTCGCAAGTTTTAAACCGACATTAATTTTTTTTTATTTAAATTCATTTAACAGTCAAGCAAAACCATTAAATATTCCGCCATTGTCAATTTAGCTATTAAAAGTTTATTTTGCTTTTAGTTAAACAAACAATGTCTTATTTTTATTACATTTATAAGCCAAATTGGGAAGAAGTTTCAAATATTTTTCTCATATCCAATACCAAAGTACCACTATTGAGCCAACCCAATACCAGTATTTTGGTTCTGGAAAAAAGTCCGGTAGTACTGATATTGGTATTGCCGGAATTTGATGCACTGTTTTTATTCTTTGTCTGTTTTAACCTCAAATTTTACAATCAATGTTTGAACCACTTTCTGATCATAGATTTTTTCGAATTTCGTATACATATTCTAGGTTGATGACAATGCAATATTTAATTTTTAATGCAATATTTAATCATTAGTTTTACATTTATTTGAGTAAATTTAATTAATATAACTCGGTTTATGTAAAGGTAGAAAAATAATCATCTATATATATAATTTGCAAAAAGCACTGCTTAAAAAGTTACTCGTAGTTTCTGTTTTACATTTAAAACCCTGAAAATTAAAAAAAAATAGCATGTTAATTGGTTTTCAATTTTGCGATATTAACAATGTACTGTTTACCAAAACACCAAATAGCCCAGTGAACACGGCATAGTTCTAACTAGTACTAAATGGATACGCCAAATGACGTTTTTAAATAACCTAATTTAGCCGTCCTCATTTCTACGTCTATAATCAGGGTTGCCACTATAATTTTAAAAGTTTTTTTCTGAGTTTTCCTTGAGTATTCCCTGAGTTAAGTACATTTTCCCCTGATTTTAGTTTTTTAAAATCCCTGAGTTTTCCCTGAGTTTTCCAGATTCAATATATATCTGTTGAATCTGGAAAACTTTAAATCTTTGTTTAATGTACTACATGTTGTTACAAGTAAATTCTTTTTTTTTTCTACTTCTTTAATTTCATCTAATATGATTGCTCGTTGGTGGTTTAGTTCACACTCTTTCTGCTCTGCTAAACTGATTTGGTACTGTTGTCTAGCTGACTTTACTGATAACATTAATGCATTTGTGATATTAATAGTGTCAGCTTGAATGTTCTGAAAATTCATATGATCTTTTAAAATCCGATAAGAGACTATTGAGTTAGGCTGAATATTTTCATTTTGAATTGTTTTGTTTATGCTGAAACCTTTTTCTACAAAAGCTTGACCATGACAAACCGTTAAAATAATTTTGATAATATAAGAAAGTTCCTTATGTTTGGCTACATCTAGTTGATGAAAATAGAAGATATCTGAACGAGTGGTTTTTTTTATCAAAGCTAAGAAATTTTTCTATATTCATTTTTATGTCATTTCTTAAAAATATTGAATACTGAAGCATGACATTATCACTTTGTGTTGCATATATAATTTTTAAACTGGCAAGATAATGTAACAATCTTTTTAGTTTATTTTGATTAGATTCAATTGTTAATGTTTTGAGATTGATTGGTTCGAAACAACTTGCATTCGCTATGATTGCAGAGTCTAGTGGGATGCGTTTAAGTAAATTTTCCATGGTTTTGTGAGAAATAAAACATATTCATTTCTAACTGATTTATCTCATTAAGAGTTATATTATCTTTAACAAGGAGTTCTTTAATTAAAACTTCAGCCGCAAAACGAATAGTAACATCTTTCGTTGGTAGCAAATTCTCTTTTTTATAGAGATCTATCTTTTTTAAGTCATTACCTTTTGCAGCTTTGAATTACTGAAGGTTTAACAAATAGAGCTAAAATATTTGTTATCAATTCTCTAAAATCAGTGTACATTTATGGAATCATTGGTTGATCAGTCTGATTGTGTTAAGTAGGTTTTAAACAAGCTGGCAAAATTACTAAAAAATGGTAACTTTGAAACTGTCAGGGAGTCATTTGATGCTTTTTGAACATTAAAAAAACTTTTTGAGGAAGGCTGTTTAGACTTTGATAATTTTTCCCAAAATCTAATTAATTTTACGATGTTGTCTCATATTTTGATTAGGCGATCAGCATCAATTTGGTCTTTAACCCATCTTGTTAAACAGAAACTTAATGGATACGATTTGTAACCAGTAACACTGTTATAGTCATCCCTCCTAGCTTGAGTATCATGGAGTATTTGGTATACTCCCTTAAGAATACTTTTTCAATTCCATGATGTAGACTCAGAACCTAATTTAAAAGCTACATGTACTACATGCAAACTGCAACATCCAATGTCAAGTAAAGAATTTAATTCCCATTTTAATTTCGGTATATGGAAAGTTCTTTGAAAAATTTCCAATTTGTATTAGGCCCATCCATAGATTATTATTTTTGAAAAATTCAGATTATCCAGACCTATTCTATTTCTTTATTGAAAATTTTTAACAATATGTGCCGCAGAAGAATGGACAAAAAAAAACTAAATTCAAGTATCGCACATTAATCTTATTTTCTAAAGTATTCAAAAATCTAACAACAATATCCATTTGACAATTTTGTGTAACTTTGTTTAGACTTTCATCAAATGAGACAACATAACATGGCGAATTTTTGCTACTTTTAAGAAGTAATGATTTAAAATATGGTGCTAATCCATAGTTAATCATTTATCCTATTTTAGTTCTATATATCCAAATGTTAATCCTTTTGCTATTTTGCTATCTGGAAAAATACTTGTAAATAGTTCGCTCAAATTAGCAGATGCATTGTTTGACAATCCATTCATAACAGTTGCAAGAACCATCTTATTTCAGATCTTGTTTCTTAATTGGAAGTAACAACAAGTTCTAAAGTTTTTTGACCAATGGCCAGGGGTAGTGTTGGTGTAATAGTAAAATGTTTTACAACAGGTTTGAAAAAGTGACTTTTAGATTTAGCTAAAACATTAACTTGGTGCTTTTTACCTTCATTATGACTTTTAACTCATAATGAAGGTAAAAAGTAACTCAAACATGGGGCCTGAAGCCCCATGTTTGACAAATTAAAAGTTTTACAACAGTTGTTACATCTAGCAACTTTATTGTTGTCAGTTTTAACAAACCATTCTTTGTAGTCTGGCTGATTTAGCCAATCATTTGATAAAATTGTTTAATCCATTTTAATTATTAAAACTCTAACAAAAATATATTCTCCTTACTAACATATTACATATATTTATAGATTTAATGATGAAAGATAATAAATTTATATATAAAATATTTTTATATAACTTATTAAATCAAACTTTACTCAGTATTTCAGTATTTCCCAATTAAACTCATAATAAAAATTCTACTTAAAATAATTAAATAACTTAACTATAAAATAAAAATTCAAATTTAATATTGAAAATAAGCAAACCATACAAAATTAACATTAAATGTAAAATCTCATAAAAAATTGATAATATATATTACGAATTTATCATAACTTAAATTATTGTTAATAATTTAATAAAACATTATCTTCAAAATTGGAAAAAAATTTTCCCTGAGTTTTCCCTGAATATTAAATTTAAAAAAAAAAAAAAAACCCTGAGTTTTCCAGGTTTTCCCTGGGATTCATGCTATTTCCAGGTTTTCCAGGTTGAGTGGCAACCCTGTATAATACGTGTCTTTACATGGCTTTACTCAAACGTAAGGTTAAAATTTATGTTTTCACTTAACTTTTTGAGAATAAGTAAAAAATAAAAATTTGCGCAAACTTTTTAATAATATAATTGTGCTAAGTTTCATAAATTATAATTTTTTTAAAATTCTTCAATTGTTAATTTCCCAGAATCGACTGTTCGAACAATTGACGTCATTTACCTTCTTTTAGATCAGGTGTGGGCTTTAGATTATTGCCAACAGCATTTTAAAGTTCTTTTTTGCTGTAGGAATCAGGTAAACAGTCTTAAACCTAAAAAAAATTGTAAAGATAAGTACGTAAAAATAAAGGAGAAGGGAATAAAAAGAACATTTATAATACACTTTATGACGTAATATACATATATACATATACATATATGTATATATATATATATATATATATATATATATATATATATATATATATATATATATATATATATATAATTAATACACACACAAACACATATCACCAACATTTAATAACTTTTATTTCTAAATTCAAAAGGTAACACTTATATAAGTGATATGGGGCAATTTAGTGTAAGTTATATTGGGCATAGATAATTCATTAGTGTTTTGATCAATTCGATAATATTGTGTATATTTTACAAATTTACAATTTAGAAATAAAAATTTGTTATGTAACTTATGATAGTAATTTACTCTTATCATAGTCACAAGAATAGATAGTCTGGAAACACAGGCCGTTATCGATTGTTTTCAAAATTTTATGTTGAAAATGTACTACCGGCCCGCTGTAAGTGCAAAACAAACGTTAATATGGAAAATGAAAGTTTGACTAAAATAAATGAAAAACCAGTGACTTTAAGGTTAGGAATATCTCTATTACAACCTATAGTTATCTCCTTACCAAAGTAGTTTTCTAGCGCATCTTGGCAAAATACTTCAGTTAATACATAAGAAAACCCTTTGCCTAATAAGTATTGAACACATTCAACTAAAGAGTTTACAGTTTTTGATAAGCCTTCAAATGTTTGACTTGATATGAACATTTTATTGAGCTCTTTTTGAGAAACTTTTCTGGCCTTTTTTTAATGCTCTCACTGCAGTCAACAGAATATTCAAAAAAAGTGTTTTTTAACCAGTGAAATCTTTCATCTAAATACCAGTATAAGGTTGAATTTGTAGAATATTACATGCTGGAGATCTGAAATAGACTGTTTCATTTGTAGGACTAAAATCATTATCAGATCTTTTATTGATACAATTAATTAAAAATTGTTTCGTAACACATGTTTTTTTACAAGCAAAAACTTTTCTATTTCATTTGATGATATTCCATTGCAGATAGAAACTTTGGATATGATTGAGAAAATGTGATACTATGGTGTATCTTACAGATCGTAAATTACTCTTATAAATTTGATGAATGTCTGGTAAAAGCCAACCATAAGCTTGAATAGTATAAGCTAGACTCTCACCTACATGTAGCTCAAATCGTGGTATGAAATGTTTTCCATCAGACTTTAAATGCCACATTTTTAGAAATTTCTACATATATATATATATATATATATATATATATATATATATATATATATATATATATATATATATATATATATATATATATACTTATATATAGTATATACTTGACAACTCTCTCGAAATATTGTATAAAAATTAACTCAAAAAATAAAGAGTTACATACATGATAGAAGTTTTTATGACCAACACATATATATTATATATATTTATAAATAAATTTTTAATTAATAAAACAAAAATTTATAAAAATGTAAATTAAGGAGAGCAGTGAAATTTTAACTTTTTTAAAGATTATTTAAGGACTTTTAAGGATGTTTTTTTTTTCCAAGGATATTTAAAGTTTTTAAGGAGGATTGGGAACCCTGAATATATACGACAATGATCAAATGACTACATATTAAAACTTTATCAGCAAACATTATTGTAGTGGATTTGCAGTGGACCTATAAAGGCATTCTGAGCAGTTAAATGGAGTTTAACTCATCATTTACTTAGTAAATTACTAAAGTGGCCAGCCAATAAAATTCCAACAAGTGATATAGTGGTTATTCGTGTTATCCATTTTTGGCTGCTGCCACTAATGGTCCATTAAGTGTATAATGACTAAAATAATTATTACCACACTTTTTAGGAACAGTTAATAACTGTTTATCTCGAAGATGTAGAGAAAGTTTTAAAAACACCTTTAAGTATAACTTAGTTATACCTCTACTAGAGTTGAAAACACATAGAGGCTCTAGGTGTTTTCAAAAACTTTTATTGCATCTCCGCCAAGTTCCAAACCTTGATTTTGTAATATTGCAAGAAGTTCATTAACTAATGTACTGGTCCGATTATTTTGAATAGCACAATCTAAAAGTTGTCAATTCAAGATATTGAATTCTATTAAATTATCAGGATAAACTCTCTGTATCATTAATAGATTTTCCTTTTGAAAAATTATGCATGAGATTCTGCGATGTCTTCATCTTTCAAATAATCAGAACATGGTTCTTGATATACTATATCAAGTATTTTACTTGATATACTATATCAAGAACCAGTTATACACTTAGTATATATAGCATATCATATACTCAGTTTTAAACTATTTTTTTCAATATCTGTATCAATATCGGTATCAATATTAACGCGATTCTTAAATAATCAAATATATATATATATATATATATATATATATATATATATATATATATATATATATATATAATATATATATATATATATATATATATATATAAATATAAATTACATTTGAAAGTTCTTTTACACTTGAAAGTTTTTTCTACATCTGTATTAAAAATACGTTTTTAATTAACAAAAATAAACAAGTGCTTGATGATTGCGTGATTTAACTAATTTAATTTTGACTTAATAAAGCATTATTCTGGATCTTTTGACGGACGGACGCTAACTGAACGTTCAAAGGACGTCTTTTTTACGTCTCGTGCCCACTGGGAGGTTTTATGTCTCGTGCCCACTGGATATCAGGTTTTTATTTATGGTTTCACCGTTACGGAAACGTAGTATAATATCATGCAAAGTTTCCGTAACGAATGTGAAACCAGTTATAAAAGCACACGACATTTTAAAGTTGGTTTAAAAAAACTCATAAAAACGTGTTAAACTTAAGGAAAACTGACCGTGAAATCAACGCGACAACAAATACTTTCGTTTACGCCTGGATTGTAATAAACACGTGTCTAGAAGGGTTTAAAATGAGGTTAGATGTGCCGGCTGCGTTGTTTCAACTGCTTAGCTTGAAAAAAAGGATAACTAGAATAGTTTAAAGCCTTTTTTTTTGTAAGTAATAAAAATCGAAAAGAAAAGCACTGGTTTCGAACAATTTTTTGATGATTATTTAAATTACACACTGTGCAACGTAATGAAAGTTATTTCACACAAGTAAAGATATTTTTAAATTGACGCGAGTCAGATAAAATATAATCCTTAAATATTTAATAACAAACCTAAAGACAACTTACTAGACCAATAAAAATGACTAAAATTAATTAACGTAAACATTCTTTTCCTGAACGGAACTTTTTTACATTTTATTTGTAAAAGTTAATTTAAAACATATTTATTTAAAACTTTTTACATCTTAGTAAGTATATCGACGTAAGTTTGCATAACTTATGTTTTTTTTTATAAGCTTATGTGTATAATGTTGTTGGCTACTAGTTTAGTAAGTTATATTTCTTTATTTGAAAATAAATTTATGAATATATACTTATTTTGTAAACTTTTTTGTTTTCAAAAAAAATATTTTTTTGTAAAAACTATACTTTCATAGGCTTATTAACAATAAACAGTTGAAATAACTTTTTGTTTAATTGAACCACGTTAATACGTTAAGTAGAATGTCCGTTCTGATTGTTTTTAAACTATATTGTCTGTTTACCTCTAACTAAGCTTTTTTATATTTTTTTATAAGTACACATAGCTGCATAGTTTTACAGTTGCATAGCTACATAGCTACAAAGCTAGATAGATACATAACATTTTACTATAAAGTGAATATAACTATAATCTAAAAAATAAATAACAAGTTTTATATAAAGATTGCAATGGTTCAAACAGTTATTGCGACACAAAATGATATTGACAATATATTGAGATGCACTAACGATGCATTTATGGTAATTAATTTTAAATGTATATTAAATTAATTTTAAAGTTTATTTACAAATTTTGATTTATAATTTTTTAACTATTTAACTAATTAGTTTTTTAATTTTTGTGACTAATTTTTTATATTTTTGTGATTTTTATTAGGCGGATGCTTTCTTCAAAAAGCCAGAATATCACCATCGATTCACAAGGGAAAATGTTATATCTAAAATGTCTCATAAAGATTCAGTTTTTATTCTTGCGCGCGATGGCATGGCAAGCGAAAACTCTAACAACGAAGTCATTGGCAGCATATATTTAAATTGGATTACTAAGACAGAGTGGGTTGTTGTTGATAACAGTTCTATTCCTAAGGTTGGTATTTATATTGTTAGTACTCTCATGTATGTTATTGATTGTTATTGTAAATTATATAAACCACTCAGAAATTTTACCCTTTTTTATAAAAATTCTATTGTTCATTTAATAATCCAAAACTAATTCGAGCTTATACCGACTGCTCACTTTTTCGGTTCCAGTTTTTCTTGTTTTCACCAAGATTTCACTTACATGATTTAACATCATTTATTTTACTGATTTTGTTTTAGGTTACCCTGATTGGAACATTTTCGGCTGTTTCTGTGCCATCAAAATATGGCAAACGTGGCATTGGTAAAACATTAGTTGCTTCTGCTGAAAATTACTTACTTGAAAATGTTTTTAAAGTAATCCAGCATCAAATGTCAAGCTCCGTTAATATTATTAATAATAATAATCCACAATTCGATGTAGTTATGGAAATTGAAGTAGTTAATTTACGCGTGGATTTGTTTCCTTGGTATGAAAAGCAAGGCTATCAAATTGTTGATAAAATTAAACCCAACGATGTTGAGTTTACAGTCAAAATTTTAGATGGTATGGATGTTTTTTTTATATTAATGAGAAAGAAATTATTGTAAATTAGCTTGAGCATTATATTGTTGTTGTATGATACATTATAATATTTATCATGCACATAAATGTAAAGAAGTAAAAAATTTATGTATATATATAAAATCATGTTGATTGCTTTTGACATTTATTAACGTAAGTTTTGTTCACGTAAACTTTTGATATAACTAACGGAATTTTTTAAAAATGTGTGCATGTATAACTTGATTTGAAAAACTTGTTTGATTTAAATGTTTACTTTAAAGAGTCAATATCGTCAAATTTTGACATTTGATACGTTGATCAAAGTAGATTGAATGCTTCTAGCAAAGTAGATTGAATGCTTTCAGCATAGCATATTGAGAATGTATTATAAATGCGCTAAGTACTACAGTTATTACTATTAAAAAATTTCAATTTTATATCAAAATAAAAATACAGTTAAATAAAAGTAAAAGTTATGTTAGGTCAAATTTGTAAAATACAGAAACCCTAAAACCCTCAGTAGTTTTAAAAAAAAGTTGCTATTTTTTTAAATTAAATTAAACTTTTTAATTTAATTTTTTATAATTAAATTTAACTTTAATTAAAATAAACATAAAAATAAGTAAATTAAAAAATAATTAAAATGAACATAGAGTTATTTACCATGTTTAGGTTTTATATCTAATTAAATGATAAAACTAAACCTAATCATAAGGCATAATCTACCCGTTTGTTGCAATCACTTGATGTTGCATTTATAAACCTCCTAAAACATATCAGAGAAATTTTAAAATGCTTTAACCTATTAAGATATAAATGTTAATGTTAAGTATAAATGGGAAGATCTTAGCAAATATTAATTGAGTGGATTTGCATGAGACTTTATATAGGCATTTTGAGCGGTTAGTTGAGGGTTTTTTTTGATTATATAGTGGACTAATAAAGGCATCCGCTAAATGTGGCCAGCCTATAACTTTTCAACCCATATATACCAACTCTCAAAAAAAAAATCTGAAAAGATCTAAAAACATTATTATGAGTTGCTGAATTTGATTCAATTCGTTTCTTCGTTTCGTTTTTTAGTCTAAACTATTTCAAGCTTAGGATTTTGTCAGAATATGTATATATATATATATATATATATATATATATATATATATATATATATATATATATATATATATATATATATATGTATATATATATATATATATATATATATATATATATATATATATATATATATATATATATATATATATATATATATATATATATATATATATATATATATATATATATAGTCTTAATGTTATCCCAACCGGTACAACCATCAAGCCTCAATGTTAAAATCTTTAAGATTGGGTTAGGGATTTTCTTTAAAGGTAAAGGTTTTCATAACCATTATTTTTTGGAAAAATAATGCATGTTCAAACAACCAAACGAAAATTGACGAGCTGAATGCCAGAATACAATCAAACACCAAGCATAACCACCCATATCTTATTTTTCTTGCCGACAAGTGGATTACTGAGGCTTTAAATACGAATATTGCAAGATAATATCATCCATACATGAAACAAGGCTGAAAAGGTGGGAGGTGGCGTAGCTTTTTATGTAAAAGATAATCTCAAGTACACGCTTACAAATATTGAATAACTTGAAAAAAGCTTTATAGAAAAGCTGTGAATAAAGCTGAAGCTCGAAAAAGAATCACTCCTATTAAAGTGTATCTACCAACCATTACATAAAGATAAACTAGCACGCCTAGAAATAACCTAATCAACTTAGATTGCTTCAGAGGGCCCCAAAACAATCGATTCCTTATTATTCTATAGTGACTTTAATTTTAGGCACATTAGCTATGAAAGTTTTAAGTTTAGAAAAGGTGTTTCGACTGCAGTCAACATACTGACCATAAAATCACCTTTCATCCTTTCATCACCTATGTTATCTTGGTTGGTTATAATTAAGTCCATTTTGGATTTAACTATAATCAACAAGCCAAACAGATTAATTTTTTTAACTCAAGCTGAACCTTTGGGGTCTAGCCCTAAAGGACAAGCTCACTAACTATTGTAGGTTAGATTGCGTCAGCATAAACAAACAATTAACCTCAAAATGTTTCTCGGTTAGTCTCGAGCAATAAAAACTACATTTCTTTCTTAGAAGTAATGACTGGATTACATGATTTTAAAGTATATTTGAAGCCAAAAAATAAAAGTTTCGAATTAAAAAATATAATGAAGCTGCCTCACTCTATATACCAAGCACTACAAAATCCAGAAAAACTAAAAAAAATCTATGAGTTACTAATGAAGTAACCAACAGCAGAAACAGGATCACACCAACTTATTAAATAGAATACAAGAAGCCAAAAAAAACTTTCACTTTTGTGAAAGTAGTAAAAAAAGCAAGACTAGACAACGAAGATGCACAAACTGCTTCGCTTAAACACAAGCCATAAGAGACTCGATTCTTTTGTTCAAAACAAAATTAAAGTTCATGATAAAATCTATTTGCTTGAAGATAGCAATGTATTGATGACTGATAACATATCTAACATATGTACTACACTCAATGAATATTTTTGTACAAAATTTAAAATAGTGTCGCAAGGTCCGCTACCTCATTTTTTAAACCAATCTTTAGCCACTAGCAACAACGGAATTGATTTCATCCCTCATCAAATAGTAAACAACAGAATGCTGAAACCTAACCCTTCAAAATCAACAGATCCTGATGAAATCTATCTTATAGCTTTGAAAAATTGCGTAGAAGCTTTTTTCTATTTTTTTAACCATTTTATTTAAGTTTTCTATTTCAACCTCTTTTTTTCAGATCAATGGAGAAAGGCAGAAGTAATACCTTTATCCAAAAAAAGAAAGTTAAAGGCAAGAATCTCCCGGCAAGTTTCTAAAACCTCGGTTACCGGTAAGGTGTTAGAAGGTTTACTTTACAATTGCATTATGCAGCATTTTTCAAAAACAATCTTGTTACACCGGCTCAGAATAATTTTGTCAACCCCAAAGAGATAAAACTTTTAGAGTTGCAGATTTGCAGAAGCCATCAATCAGGGTTTCGTGGCAGATGCTATTTATAGAGACTTTTTAAAAGTTCGATTTCATAACTGGATAAAAAATTGGTTGACCAATGAAAAGAACGTCAAAGTAGATATTACACTGTCCCCATGGAGAAGTTTATATAGCGGAGTACCTCAAGATTCAGTTATAGGAACGCTCCTTTTCGTGCTCTACATTTACGGCGTAATTTTGAGTCATACAAAAATGCATGCAGACGACAGCAAGCTTATAGGTGTTTTTAAGTCTAATAAAGAAGCACTATGTCTTTAAAAAGATCTTAACACAGTTATTAATTGGTTTAAAAAATTACTTATGCCATTTAAAAAAGAAAAATACAAATTTATGCCCATGGGCAAAAAAAAAAAAAAAAAATAAGCCACATCATTTTTAAAAATGGAATCACAAAATGGTAATTACAAACAACTCAAAACCACATCAAAAAAATTTGTGGCGTCTCAAATCACATCAGCTTATCAAGGATTCAAATATAGTTTAGGAACAAGAAGCCACGCATTTAAATTAATTGCCGAAAAAGTATTGAAACATAATTAAATTCATAATTTCGTCACAAATCGATAAGTCAAAAACTGGAATTTCTTAACTCCCACAGTAAACGTACCATCGCTTAAAAGTTTGAAATGTAGATTTGGATACTTAAATTTATGCTGTTAATTTGGCTGGTTCATCTGTAATTGCAAATGTTGTCAGAAAAGATGGGTCTTTGTCAGCCACTCTTCGTTAATAATTAGGATATGCATTTTAAACAAATTCTTAACGACGAACTGTTTTTATTGCGCGATCTCATCAAATTTGTAAATAACAATTATTGATAACTGAACAAATATACAGTACAATATACAATTATTAGCCCACCCTGCCTCACTTCAAGTACTGCTTTTAAGTATTTTGTAACAAGTATTATTAAGAAAAAAATATCAGGAAAACAATTAACAAAACACAGTAGAGTGAACTATGTACACAGTAAATTTATGTTTCAGGTCTCTAAAATAAACATAATCTAAAAGTGTACTTATAAATAATTATTGCAAAAGAATTAAATTTTTAAAAAAATAAAAATAAAGTCAGAACTCTCTCGCATATATATATATATATATATATATATATATATATATATATATATATATATATATATATATATATATATATATATGTAATATATATATATATATATAAATATAACATATATATATATATATATATATATATGTAATATATATATATATATGTATATATATGTATATATATATATATATATATATATATATATATATATATATTACATATATATATATATATATTATATATATATATATATATTACATATATATATATATATATATATATATATATATATATATATATATATATATATATATATATATGTAATATATATATATATATATATAAATATAACATATATATATATATATATATGTAATATATATATATATATATGTATATATATGTATATATATATATATATATATATATATATATATATATATTACATATAAATATATATATATTATATATATATATATATATTACATATATATATATATATATATTATATATATATATATATATATATATATATATTACATATATATATATATATATATATATATATATATATATATATATATATATATATATTTCCATACTCTTTTCCATATTCCAGTTTGTGATTGTGTGGGTAACTTAGCAGAACATTTAGCAGCTAGACTAGAACAGACTCTGGATGATTGTCTTGTAGAGAATATTTGGTAACCAGATTTGCAGCAGCCTTGGTTTTTTGATATTTTTTCCTCTTTGTTTCCACTTCAGGTATAAAATCATCACCAGGTGATATTTCAGCATCAGTTTCTTGCACAGATTCATCTGAAGTTACCATGACTTGTTTCTCAACTGAAGATTGCATAACTTTTCGGCGTTTAGACAGATGAAATGTTGAGACTGGTGCAAGCTTCGCAGTTGTGTATCCAACAGTACCATGAGGTTCAATCTGCTGTAGATAAAGATGTTTGTCTTCAGAGGACAACCAATTTCCATCAATTTTGGTTATATTAAAGAGGCTTGCTAATTTCTCCAGAAATCTCTTACCCTTTTTCTTTCTGCATCTCACATATGCATCAATTAGATTTGCAATTTTTGGCTGGAAACGTTGCATTGATACGATAGGAAAATTAAACTTTCTTCTCCTTCATTTTATCATGTAATCCCAATAAACGCCCAACAATGTCTCTGTTAAGAGGCATTTTGCAGAGTTTATTTAATTCAGTAACTCGCAAAGGTATTTCTGAACGCCTGACAACTTTGCTTTTTATATTCTGCTGCCATACATTGGAACTGTTATTAACTAGATTAAGTGATAGTTTAGACATGTCTTTGATGAACTAAATGAAATCTAAACTTTTTCTGTCAGAATAGCTTCTACAATAAAAGAACAAAGCAATTAGTCAAAAGCAGATGAGAAAAATCGAAGCTTGTAAAACCAAACTACTAGAAAAAGTGTAAGCCTTTGGTTAAAAGCAGATTGTTAAAACTATATTTAGCTTTAATTAGCAATAAGAAGCTAACATTTAAGGTATAAAACATTTAGCGCAATATAATTACATAACGCCATTTGTTTAAAGTTTTATATTGAATAGTGACGTCATCAAAAGATGCTTATTGGTGCGCCACCTTTTTTTATAATTTTTCACTAAAGGAATAATAAATGCAATCTACATATAAAAGTTCATCTACTGAAACCCCAGGAAATCAATTTTTATTCAAAAAGTTTAAAAGTCATATGCCTAATAAGCAGTTCAAAATAATAAGATCTTGGAAAGTTAGTTTTAATAAGCTTTAAGACCTGCAAAAAATCTCAAGTGAGAGAGAAAGTCATTAAAATAAAAATGTCGGAGTTTGTTTGTTCCCAGGTTCTATCGTTATAATTTTTTACAAAACATTCTGACGCATTCTGATTTGATATAGGCATAAAAATATTTAAGTTTGAAATTTGCTACTGTTCTGAAAGTTTGCCTCAAACAACAAAAAAACCTGTAACGTTTTCTGAAATAGTAATTGAAAAGAAGTATTTAAAAAAGTAAATAATTAAGCGTTTTACTATTATTAATTTATGAATAAATGTATTTAATTTAGATACCAGATTTAAAATTAATTGTCTAATAACGCTGTATTAATAAAAAAAAAAATTTTGTTTAATAAAGCCGCGTTTAAATTACAAATTGTTTATTTTATTAAAAAAAACCTTTAAACTAAAATAGATTTATATTTTTAATTTAATCAACTATGTCAAACTTTTTGCTTTTAAATTAGATATAGCAATTTATCAATTTTTTGTAGTCCAGCTGAGCAAATCCACTGCTATTTCTTAGTATAGTTTCAAACCAAACACAAACAATGACGTCTGCCCTGTTCTACTGTAGTCTAGTTTAATGTTGAAGTAACTCGTTATTTTTTGAATAGAACGGTTTAAATATATCATTTTCAGTTGATGTAACATTGTTAACGAGACAGGTTGATTTAAAAATTATTTTATTTTTTACACTGATCCAACCAAGGAATTTCAACATTTCCATTGAGTTAACTATTTGCTTATTCTACCAAGATATCCCATTATCTTTGCAAATTTATTTGATATATGTTTGTTATGCTCAGTAATTTAAGTTGGTAATTAATAATAATTTCTTGATATTTCAGGTTGATCACTAAATTCAATGATTACGTCATCTAATATAATATTTATGTTAATGGTATGATTTATAAAACTATTTTTTCTTTTTTTGTAAATTATAATAAGCATAGATATGGACTTTAGAGTATTTAATGTAAGTTTGTTATTACTAGCGCCATTAAAAAAGCGCCATTATTATTAGCGCTATTAAAAAAGCGCCATTATTACTGGCGCCATTTACAAAGTATTTTTAAGATTTAATTTAAAAATATTTCATTCGTTTTGTACCCTCAATACAAACCAATGTATCATCACCAAACAAATTTACAAAAGAATACTCAATTTTGATGCAATATTGATCGTGTAAACACTTAACAAAAGAGGTCGAAATGCACTCTCCTGTGTAACCCCTATATCACAAACCAGTTCGCAAGATTCTTCACTTTTTATTTTGACTACTCGAGTTCTCATTGAAAGATAGTCTGCAATGCGATTGAGAACTTTTAACTTTATAACCTTGTAACTTCTGTATAAGAATCTTTCTATTAACTGTTTTAAATGCCCTTTTAAGATCAGTATTTAACGATAAATTAATAATTTTTAATAGAATACTTAAAATTGATGAATATAATTCTTTGAATATAATAAAATTTAAGCCCTCCCACATTAAATTCTTGTTTTGTAATTGTTTTGCTAAATCATTTAATTCTTGCATAGTTACCCAGTGGGCACCGGACTAAAAAAAGACGTCTTTTGAATGTTCAAAAGACGTCCAAAACGTTCAAAAGACGTTCAAAAGACGTCCAACACGTATATAAAACGTTCAAAAGACGTTTTTTTTTTATGTCCGTGTCCACTGGGTAAAGGAGTAATTTCACAAAAACAAGGAATATTATTATTTAGTGATAAATTTTCCATAGCATTATAACTCATATCACTTTGAATTGATGTTTCAATATTTATGATACTTTGGAATAAAAATTCATTATATTTAACTGGATTGGATTTTGTGTCATTTCTTTGAAAACTCTTAATAACATTTTCCTCATCAAATTTAATATCATCTATTATATTTGATTTGATTAATGGTTTGACGGTTGTTAGATATTCCAAATAGCTTTAGGACCATTTTTGACTGAATCAACTTTATTTTATAGTAATCAGCTTTTAGTTTTTTTAATAGTGATGTTGTTTTACTTATTTTTTAAATTTTCTATATTGTATTTTACATTTGCTTTCACTAAAACGATGGTAATCAAACCAAACATGTTTTCCATTCTTGATTATATTCTTTTATTGCATCTGTGTATTTAGAATTCATTAATCGGTTATTGTTAATAGATGGATTAATGTTGTTGATTTCCTTACTTGTTTTTATAAACCTTTTCTTGCATATTTATGTTATTTTTAATAATTGTTGTATAGTTATTAGCCATTACTTCAATATCAATTTCTTTTTTTATATTTTTTAATTCAACTGAAACATTTTTATTTAATAAAAAATAATCAATTTTATGGAAGTTCTGTTTACTGCTGTTGACAACACTGTTGTTTGCTTTTTTAGTTATGAATCGTCTTTTTACTTTGATAGAGTATTTACATGTAATCATTTCATATATATATATATATATATATATATATATATATATATATATATATATATATATATATATATATATATATATATATATATATATATATATATATATATATATATATATATATATATATATATATATATATATATATATATATATATATTGTGTATAGATTATATGCAAATATTTTTCTTTGCTTATTTAAAACATGGTACAAAATTTTAAAAGAAAAACCAACAGAGGTTATAGTTCTGGAGATGTCATTATGTGTGCTGTTAAAGATGTAAAGCCTAATAACATTTGGAATAAATCAGCAGCAAAAAACCACGCCATTTATTATAGAACATTAACACGTTATTGTAAAAAAATTATTACTACCAAAAATAATAAAATTTATTTAAATAAAATTTTAAAAATTATTATTACCCATCGCATGACTCTTTAACAGATCTAATTGACAAAAATCAAAACTCCGTCTGCATGAATGTTATAGGATATAAAAAATCAAAACTCCATCTGCATGAATGTTATAGGATATAAAAGTCAACAGATATTGCCAGACAAAGTAGAAAAAGAATTGGTCTCGTGTTGCGAGCAGCAGAAATTTCTTTTGGCTTAACTCCTAAAAAAGATTTCCAGTTTGCAATTAAAAATAATATAAAAGTTCCCAATTCTTGGGTTGTAAAGGAACAAGCTGGTAAGAATTGGTTTACAGGATTTATAAAGCGCCACCCAAATATTTACATCAGGCAACTTGAAGCTACTAGTTTAAGTTGAGCGACAAGTTTCAATAAGCAAAATGTTGCATTATTTTTAAGCAATTAACTAATAGGAGCACAAACAGGAGGTGCAGGAGATGTTAATACAAGTTGTTGGATGAAAGAAGAAAACTTTGTAAAATATCTACAACATTTTGTAATCAATACAAAATGCACTAAAGAAAAGTCTTGTTTATTGTTGGTTGACAATTATGAAACCAATCTTAGTATTGAAGGTTTAGATACGGTAAAAAAAAAAAAAGGAATAGTAATTCTTACCTTTCTACCGCATTGGACGCATAAGTTGCAGCCCTTAGACAAGGCAGGTCGCCTTAAAAACTATATAAATACTGCTATGACTTTATGGTTAGCATCCTGGAAAAACCGTTACAATATGTGATATTCTAAAATTAGTAAACATTGCATTTAATAAGGGTGTATCTCCCCACCATATTTTAAGTGGTTTTGCTGCGACAAGTATTTACCCATTAAATCCTGATAATTTTACTGAAATTGATTTTTATTATTTACTGATCGCCCTGGTCCACCTTGTTTACAGGCTGATTCAAATACAAAAATTTTTGAACCTTATTCAATGCAACCAGAACCAGCAAATAAAAGATTTAAAGAATCTATTCAGATACCGTTTAATCACATAGACATAGAAATTTAAGATCTAATTGTATCAAATCACTCCATTAGTTTTAAAAAGTTTAATCATACTACCTGAGATTATTAGGTCTCTGCCTAAAGCAGGTCCAAGGTTAGCGTCAAAAAGAGGTAAGAAAAAGCGTTCAATTATGGTTCTTACTAACTCACCTGTCCAAGCATGGCTTGCTAGTAATAAAAAGAAAAAAACTAAAAAAAGAAGTATTATTAAGAATCGTAAATCATTTACAAATAAAAGTAAAAAAGAATTGATAAAGTCAAATTTTGCTAATTTATGTCATTTAAAGCACCTAAACAGTTTAAAGATACTGGGAATTGTAGAAATTTGTACTTAACATTGTACTTTGTACATTGCACTTAAAATACTTAACAAAATTAATCAGAAAGACAATCACAATTGATTTTGAAAAAAAAAAAATTTAAAAATAAATAAGTATTTCACTTAAAAAGGTGAATTACTTTTCACCTAAGAAGGAGAATTGAACAACTCTTTTTTTATGGAATCATGTATCCAGACAGCACACTCAAATAAGGACAACATCCAGGCAAGTCGGATGGTGTAGCCTAGGGTAACAACTGCTACTCCTGCACTTTTGGCTGGGGTGGCAAGGGTAGCATGAATGTGCCCTTTCTAGGAAACAGGTATGGTAAGTTTTTGTGTTTTAAAAGCATTTTATAATGGTTTTTCAACCTTTTAGACATGTTTAATTAGGTTCTGAAAGAAAAAAAAAGACTATGGTATATTGTAGATAAATAAATTTGCGACGCAATAGGCAGAACTATAAATTTATAAAACATTGTTAGACATTTAATTGAAGCTTCAAAGTTTGTCCGCATTTTTAGTTAAAACGTTATATATTTCAAATGTGTTTTAGTAGATGTTTTGCAAAAAAGCAATAGTTTTTTGAGTTTGTATTTTTATTTACGAGAAGAAAAGAAAAAAGGAACACATTGTAAAGACAATATATAGTTATAAAACGAATAAAGCAATTGTTTTTTTCGTTAGTATTTTTATTTTCGATGATTACTTTCGACGATTATTTGCGTACAAATTTATATCTCTTAGTAGTTTATTTCTTAATCATACTCTTAACAGTAAATATGTAACGGTTTTAACCACTGAACAGTCATGCCGAAGGCCAAAAGACTTTAAAAGAAAAAAACTAAGGAATTAGCAAAATCAGCAGCATCACCGTATAAGATCAAAATTACTACTTTGTTGAAAAAAAATAACAACAGAACCGGTGGAGCCAGAAAACCCTCACGGTGAACTACAGAATCAGGAAGAAGTTGAAATAAGCAGTCAAAAAATAGACAATACAGATAAGAGTAAAAGTGACAAAACATTTAGAAATGTTGATGATTGAAAACCATTATGATATATCTCATGACATCTTGCAAGAGTAAGAACAATATCTCACCTTAGAAGCACAAAGGCAGATTGTTGAACTGATCAAAGTTCTCATATATTGCTAAGAAGTTGACATCTAAAAATTAGCTAAGAAACAGTTGATTTATTTAGTAGACTGTTTAATAGCATGTTATAAAATTTAGTGCTAATTGCGATTTTGCGTACACGCGATTCGTAATAGTAAAAGTAGTAGACAAAGTGACATTTATTGTGTATTTTTTGGGGAACGGTCGGTTTAATTAAAAGGTTTATTTATATTTGATATTATATATAATAAAATATTGTGTTGATATTTTGGCAAGTGCCCTTGTGTTTTTGTTTGCCACCCCTTAGGCCTTTCCTGCGTGCCTGACAACATCAAAACAACATTGGAATCAATGGATCAATGTTCCGATTTTGCACCAAAGTTAGTGTGCTGCTTTGGTACTATTATTCTATTATATACTATTATTTATTTAGGGGGTATACTGTTTAAGTAATATTTCAAAATTTAAAAAATGCTATTAGATTATAACAATAAATCATAGTTATTGAAAATATAGTTAATGATATATATTTAATGATAATGAAATAATAAATTATTTCATTATTATTGAAACATTTGTTTTGTTGATAATGATGATCCAGTTAATCAATAATTTTTGTAATATATTGTTGTATGTTTAGAAACTGTCTAGATTGATATTTGATTTTTTTGTATCTACATATATTGTTAATTAAACATATATATATATATATATATATATATATATATATATATATATATATATATATATATATATATATATATATATATATATATATATATATATATATATATATATATATATATATATATATATATATATATATATATATATATATATATATATATATATATATATATATATATATATATATATATATATATATGTTTCTGAAATTAGGTGCATTTTGCCTGTCCAATATTTTCAAACATATAGTTTGAAAATATTGGACAGGCAAAATGCACCATGCTCATTTTGCATCATAAAAATTATGATCTTATGTTCTAAAACAACTACATATACAAATTTTAACGATTTCAAGGAGTTTCGTCTTTCTTAAATTAACTGTTTTAAGGTTTTTTGAAGTTGAAAGTGGCTTAAGGTTTCAGTTTTTACGTGTCTATGGTGTTAAACTTTTTTAACTTTGCCTAAATCATCAAAATTAATGCTGAACTCCTGAATTGACAACATTACATTGTCTGAATTTAATATTTTAATTATATTATTAGGTAGTTTGCTGAGTAAAAGTCCTCCATTTTACTGTCATGTACGGAACAATAATAATTCACTGACAAAATAATAAATAATTTGGGTAGTTACCGTAAAAAAATGTTTTATTTCATTTTAAAGTATTCGAGAATTATTAGAATATATATATGAGCGATATTTAAGGCAAGTTTTATCGAATTGTCAATTTATAACAAAACCGATTCATAACGTATGTTTTTGAATTGTTCGACACGTAACGATTGAATTTTTATTAAGGTAAATATTTATATCTTTGAAGTTTATATGATTAGATACATAATGTTGTTGTTTATTAAAAAAATCATTATTGCATTGAATTGACTAATTCATTTTAAACGCATAAACAGAAACATCGTAAAAGTTTCAAGTACGTAACGGTCATGTACCTAACATAATACACGGGTTTATAGTCTCATTTCTTTTCCGTAAATTATCACAAAATCGTTTAGTAAAATAAATATTTCGATATTAAATTGGTGATAAATTTGGCTAGGAAAGATAATTAGCGTTGAAAAAATTTTATATCAAAGATTTTATATCAAAGTAATATCAATATGTCAAATTCTGCTTCTCAAATGTTTTCTCAAATCTTCTCAAATTTACTTTTCTAAACTTTGAAATAATTTGCTTATACTTGACAATAAGTTCTATAGAATTTTCTATAAACTTTTAAAACATATGGCCTATAAAAACTCTATAGAATTTTTATAGAATGTCTATGGAAATTTCTATAAAACTTTTTTTTCTCTAAAAAAAAAAGTATAAAAAAAAATTCAATAGAAATTTTTATAGAAGTTAACAGAAACTCTATAGAAATTCTATAAAATTCTAAAGAATTTCTATAGGCTATATGTTTCAAAAGTTTATAGAAAATTCGATAGAACCTTTTTTCCTGGGAAAAGTCAAAACATAAAAGTTATTAATATTTAAACTAGTAAGATAATTTTTATATCAGAGTTTTTACGGACTTTACGGCAAGTAAGTTAACAAAAAAATTTCTATTTCAATTTTAAAATTATACATTTAAATTAGTCTACACCTACATTTTTAATAGTATTATCTTATTTTATATTTCAAAACATTATTTCCAAGTAAATCTTTTAAAATTAGATTGTATATTATAATTTGATATTTATTCTAGAGTACTGAAAGTTAGAGATTTAAAGCCACATATGCGATAAATTATTTATGAGCAAAGATAAGCCGGTGAATATTTGCAAAATATTGCCAATGTATTCAATATTTTAAGAGAAGGTAAAAATAAAGTTTGCAATATATATTTCTAGGACCGGACACATTTATTTTTACCACAAATTGGCCCAAAGTGAAGGACAACACCTCGTCAAGACTGATTATTGCGGCTAAGGCAAAGAAATAAACATTTTATCACGGAAGCTAAAAGAAACTTTAAATTTACTAATTGGTGATATCTAAATTAAAGCTCGATTAATTAAAGAAAAAATAGGTGGCTGTGTAGCTAGGAAAAAACAATTTGTTTCAAAAATTAATGCTGCTGAGTGTCTGAAGTTCGCCAAAATACATGCTGATAAACCACGATTTTTTTGAGAAAGTATCTTTTGGTCGGAAAAGTAAATTTGAATTAAAAACCTCAAAATGGCCAAAGCTGCAAAATGGTGTGAAAGAGGTCACAAGAAGTACATAAATAAACTTTAATAAAGCTTACAATAAATTATTTTAGACGCTCTGTTATGTTTTTGGGCTGTTTTTTTTTTGTGATGGTATAGATAAACTACAATTCATTAATGGTATGATAACTCCTCAAATCGTAAAAAAACGTTCATGTAGTAAAAAAAAATTTTTTTAAGATTTAATCAATCAGTTAGGGCTTTTGGGCAACTACATCTATCAATAAGTTAATAATCTTAAACATACTGTTAAGTTTACAAAGAAAGTATCGGTAAAAAGTTACATTAATCTGTTACCACGGCCACTTCAGAGCCCTGGCTATAACTACATAGAGCATCTTAAGGAAAAATTGAACTGCAATATATCTTAAAAAGAAAGAAGTTCTAAAGCTCAAGTCAAATGAGTTCTAAAAAGAGAATGTCCTTGCAGAGGATATGCTAAATGGAGCTCTGCAGAGAAAATGCCTCAAGAAATCATTAACAATTGAATGATAGGATGCATAACCAATAGAAAGATCATCAAGTCAAAAGGTTTTAAGCATATTATTAATCTTTTTAAAACATAAGTATAAAACAATTAATTTTCTGTAATTTTTCTTTGTTGTCAGCTTCGTGTTTGTGTTATTAAGAACCTAATGTATTTTAGGTTCCTAAATGTATTTGATTACCACTGAAAAATAATGTACTTATCAGAAATTCAAAAATAAATTCAAAAGAGGCTAAAATGTCACTGCAGACATTTTAGCCTCTTTTGAAGACAATGATAATGATAATACTTCTACAAGTACCACTAACACTGTTGGACCAGCTTTGTTGCAGCTATTGTTGAATTTAAAACTAAAAAGTTTGTCAGGACTGGTCACATTCTTTTTCCACTGGATATACCAAAAAATACTGAAAATTACATATTTCCATTGTTTGCTTGCGAGATTGAATAGACAGCTGCATTTTGTTTTCCGTGTCGATTATTTTCACCTAGAAATCAAGTTTTACACTTGAATTCATTTCTTGCAATAATTAAAAGTTAATGATATGAAAAAGTGGAAAGATATCATTAGTCAAACTTATGAGTATAAATGTTCATAAGCCTATAAACAATCCTACATTCAGTGGTGTGAATTAGAAGTTCGAATGAAAACTGATCACTCAATTAAATATTTTGTGAATTACCAAGTCCTCAATAAAGCAGCTACCTGTAGAAAAATTATGGAACAAATTTAGGATGTAATTCTGTTTCTTTTTGAACGTGGATTTGATTTTGAGGAATATCTGACCTAATTGGAGACTCTCATAATAGAAATTTCTTACAATTATTGAAGCTAATTTCACATTACGACCCAATTTTTAAAAAACATGTGATGAAAATTAATAATCACACGACAATGAACTACGTCATTTGATATGTACATAAAGTAGAACCTGGAAAATTTTCATTTAAAGAGCGGTTTTTAATCTTTGCAGATTGTGCGAAGAAGACTGAATCTGATATTGCACGATTATTTCTAGAAACTTTGAAAATTTGTTTTCAAAACTGTCCAAGACAATGACAATAGAGCCAATATGACAGAAAAATTTGTTTATACATTCCTACAAAAGAAGAACTATCTATATTTCTACAAAAGAATAATTTTCTATATTGCTAAAAAAGAAGAATTTTTTATAATTTCAACCTTTGTTTGTCATTCATTGGATTTGTGTAAATTAAATGCTGCCTCAAGCTGTAAAGATGCTGAGACTGTCATTGGAACTGTTCAAACTGTGTTTACAATCTTCTCTGTTAGTCCACAACGCAGAAAAGATTGTATACACAAAATATTAAAAAAAAGTCTTTATGATGTGTCTTTGCATGGGCAATCTGGAACACAATGGACTAAGAGACAAGACAGCTTTTTTCCTTTCTTTAACCATTTAAGTCAAATTATTGAATCTTCGGAAGAATTTCTTAGCTTGAATTTCTCGCCAAAAATAAAAACTGAGATTAGTGGTCCATGGTTGATTAGAGGTCCTTAAAATATATGAGCTCTTTCAAATGTGTTCTCATGGCTGGAATTTTGAAGAAAGTTTGCTCATTAATTGATTTCTGTAACCAGGTCATTCAGGCAAGTAATAAAATTGTTGATATTTAGGTGAAAAGTATTGAAGCAATAGAGTGGCCAACACTTGAAAGAAGCCAAATTAGTTACAAATACTTTAAAAATTAGTTCTGAATTTCCAATCCACCAAAACGTGGAGCGCAAAGGTTTAATTGGAGAGCAAATTAAAGGTAATGAATGTATCAAGGAATCAGCAGAAACAGAATCAGGAGAAGAGGCAATATTTAGAAAAGCGATCTTTTATCACATTTTTAACTCTGTGGTTGATAAAATGAGTTCAAGAAATAAAGTAAATATTTCTTGGACTGCTCGTTTCACAACCGTTCAAGAAATATTTATGTTATTATTTTTTTATTGTGAATATCAAAAGTTGTCTAAAACAGAGATAAAGATAAAGCCTGCTCCAATTTTTCGCAGAAATATTGATATGGCGTGACTAAAATGAGCTAACAGAAGAAATGCATTGCACAAAGCAAATTCATACTGCAAACTTTGGAGAGAAACCTCTTGCTCCCATTCGATTTGTTAAACAAATTTTTTGAAATAAAACTATGGAACTCTTCAAAAATATATTGATTGCGTATTTTTGCTTCAATTGTGACTGTTGCTTCAATGGTGACCTTAAGAGAGCGTTCATGAAAAGCAAAAAAAAATAACATTGTAAGAAAAAAATAAAAGCCGGAATACTTACTTATAATTATATACCAGTAATACAAGCAAAAATATGGGCAGGCTTTTTTTTGGAGGAAAGAGGGTTGGGCCCCCATATTGAAAGATGTTCGGGGCGCCCAAATTCTGTGCACGGCCCATGTTAGACTTCTTTCAATAATTACGTTTGACTTACCTGTTTGTAAACATTTTGTCCTGTAGCATCGTCAAATCTTGCCTTACATCTAAAAGTTAGTTTAGTTAGATTCTGTAGCCTTTCAAGGTTTTTTAACGGTTTATAATTTTGTATGGTACTGAACATTCTTCTACATGAATGTTGTTAGTATAGTAACTAGCTTTTGAAGATCTTACATCATTAAATAAAGAATATTTGTGACCACCATTTTCTTTAGCACCTTTTCTTAAAAGCTGGTTTGTTGATTTTCAATAACTAATGCTAAGGATGCTAAGACTTCATCATGCGAATGCTTCTTAACAGCTTTAATGGGGTTGTTTTTTGAAATTGTAGCATGTTTTTGGATGTCTTATACTTAAACTTATTTTTTAGTCTCAATTTTGTTACATCAAGTAATTCGGAACTTGTTAAATTGTTAATTAGATCTTCAAGCTTTCTTTTTATTAAATTTTTTTTCTTTTATTATAATCTTTTTTAAAAAAGCAACAACTTCATTAACTAATGAGCTAGTATTTAATGTATTGTAGGCATATTGAAAATCTTGAGCAAGCCAATTTTTATTACTTCTCTCAAAATAAGTATTATCATTGTTTGCAGCTATCCACTTTTTACAACGTTTTTTTATAAGATTTTTGTACTCAAAACCCTATAAATTAATATTTACAGAAAAGCAAAGAATTATTATCAATGAGAAAAATGATATGTCATTAGGAATTTGCTTATTTTGTCGTATTAGTCTGTGAATATCATTAATTTTCATATTATTAATAAACAAAAAACGAATTTGGCAAACATTAGGTGGATTTCAAGCAGTTAACATAAGTTAAAACTCATTGTATTAAAATGTTAAAGAAAAAAGGAGCAATGAAAAACGTCCTTAAAACGTCCTTAGAACGTCGAACAACATCAAACAAGGTGCAAAGTATTTAGTTCAAATAAGTTGTACACAAATTACATTTACTAGTTCAAGCATTTAATTAGGTTCTCGTAGGTTCCCTAAAATATGTGACGCTTTTTGTATAAAATAAAAGTATGTTAAAAACTTACCTCGTTATTTAAAAGCCAGTTTATAAATGTATTATAAATGTAGATCTTTACTTCATTTATTTTTCGTAAGACTATTCTGTTAAATAGTATATAAATATAAACTAATTCCGTCTGAACATAGAATTTTAAAAGTTACTATTTATTATAGCTATGCATAAAAATTAAAAGTTTCACGCTATTTTTCGGAAAAAAAAAATTTTATCATACATTTTTTTAAATCACCATTTGCAGTTTGAACCGCTAATGACTTTGATGGTTTTAAAAAATACTTTTTTACACAAAACAGTTTTTAAAATAGTAGATTCAGTAGATTGTCACGAATATTTTTTATGATATGGTTTTGAGTATAATAAATATTTGTTTTACACTCCCTCGCTAACTGTGTGCTAATTTAAAATATATCAATTACATTTTGACTTATAAAATCGTACAAAAAACTTTTCTGTGCTATCTTGAACGTAATTTTATGCTTGAAAAGTTTCCAAGAAAATGAAAAATGAGTAACGTATGAGATTTTATGGATTGTCAACTGAGACCCATATGTTTTCCTTCCGGGGACAATATGGATTTGGCCGCCAGTATTCTCTGTAGGTCCCAACTATATCCCTTGAATAAAAACCGTACGGAACCTATATAGGTTTGCTACTGGCACCTATAGTAAGTTACAGAATACGGCGGTATTCTAAGTTCTTAGGAATACCGCCGTATTTTGGCCGCGGAACTATAGACTTTATGGTTCCATCTGGGAACCATAAAGTCTAATCCGCTGGGTAACCCGTATGAGTTCCAGCTGTGTTATTATTTCAGTGTACTATTTCTATGTTATTATCTCATTTAGAAAATTTTTGAAGTTTCTAAAATCTACTCTTTTATTTTTAAAACTACACATAAAACCCAAATAATTTTATTCGTTTATTTCAAATATAACCCAGACCAAATAATTTTATTCGTTTATTTCAAACCAAATAATTTTATTCGTTTATTTCAAATAAAAAAAAGCATAAAAACTGTTTTATAGAATAAACATGATTAGCTTTTCAAACTATGCTCATTTATCGTCATTGTCGTAATTCGTCTTTACTCTTACCTCCTGCGTGATTGTTTCAACAATCACGCAGGAGGTAAGAAGTGAGCTATACTTTCATTTCTCGCTTGTCTCGGACATTTCGGTCTCGGAAATCTCGGTCATTTTTCTATCTTGAAATCTCGGTCTCAGAATACCGAGAAAATAAATGTGAAAATATAAAAACCGACAATGCTGACAATTATTGAAAACATTCAAAATTCAAGCTTTCGGTTTTTAATGAGAGAAGAGCCAAATCGTTTTTGAGTAAGCAAGAGTCCTCAGCATAAATTTTCTCACGAGGAACTATTTTTCACGTATTTCTCCGAAGGAAACAGGTGAAAAATAAAAAGCGCTAATTTTGAAGACTTTTAATACTTTTCAGTCGTCTTAGTTTTAATGTTTTTAAAAATCGTGTGAGTTGCGATTGCAGTGCAATGTTTTCCCATTTATGATTCTGTTGATAATGAGATTTGTGGCAAAAAAGATGTAAAAATATATTGAATAAAAAGACTGTATTAAATTAAAAAGTAAGTGTTTATTAAATTTATTCATAAAATAATTTTAATATATGATATTTGCTATAGTAATAGCACTAAGGAAATAACGCTGATAAAATCCAAAAGAAGAAGTTTTTCTATGTGAGTGATGAGGCAACGTTTAAACAAATTAAAGTTATGAACATCCATATTTTTGGACCCAACAATTACAATCAAAATCGAAAATGGGAAAAAAAATGTGATGCTAAAACTCTTTTGAGGTTGCAAAGATATAAATTAATGACCTTCGGCAATGATCCTGACCAAGATTGCATTCGTCTAACTATGGATGGGGCAAATAATAGCACTAAATCCGGCCGTCTCTTACATCGACTTCATCACATTTGCTATGATCATGGAATCCATCTTTGTGTGACACGAGTACTAAAACGTAAAAAGATAATTACAGGTATCAATCGAGAAAATAAGAATTTATTATCAGACTAAAACGAACAAGAATCAAACAAAAAGCGACATGTTAGCATGTACATCTCAGAGTTTTTGCAACGCACCAAGCGCGCTTAATTTAGTAACAAACAAAAAAGAGGATGAAGATGAAAATAAAGCTGAAGCAAATTCTGTTGAAGAAAACGTGGAAGATAAAGAAGCATTTGAGTACGATCCTGCATTGCCTACTGCTAAAACTCTCGAAGATGTTCAAACTATTGTAAAAAAATTAAAATACAAGCTTAAATTAGTCAAAGAACTTAAAGAAAATGCTCAATCTCTTAGAATAAAATTTAAATTGCTAGTTCTTGATGTCAGAACTCGATAAAACAGTGCATTGAAAATGTTGAAAACTGTCAAAGACATGATCCCAGCTATAGAAAAAACTCTTAAATCATTTGGACATGATTGGCTTGATTATTTAGAGACAAGCATTCCTGAATTAGAAGCAACTCTTCAAAAATGTAAAATGACATGGATGCCATGAGAGGCGATAATGCTGACTTTACCATTACAGAATGGGCATTAGAATTTTTTTTAGAGGAATTGCGAATGAAGAAAAGATTTATTTGCGCTCGTTTGATTGAAGAAATTGAAATAGAGATTCTTAAAAGACGTCCATTCTTAACTATTATTCTGCTTAAAATTTACAACAATCCAGAAGTTCTTGAAGAGTTCCTGAGGAGTTCTTGAAGAGTTCTTGAGGGGTTCTTGAGGAGTTCTTGAAGTGTTCTCATTCTTGCTCTCATCTACTAAAGAAATTATTGAAGAAGCGAAAAGACTCTGGCGTAAACATTCACTCAATCCAGTAATGATGACAGTGATGATGTTGTGGAAGTTGCTTATCAGACAGCCGAACAGACTCCCAGCAATTCTAAGTTACGTCTTTTCACTTGCTTAAAACGTTGAATAACTTCAAGCTTTGTTCCAAAGTTCAAAGACCCACCTAGAAAGAAAAGAGAATCCAATGCCCGTCAGCAAATCCAAGTCACTGATCCTAATGATTTGAATGCTGATGAATTTAACAGCTATGTTACGACTGGATTCAAATCAATAAAGTTATGCATTTTAAAAAATGCGTTGAAATTAATCAAGCCAACATCAATTCGATGTAAATTTATCAATTTCAAACAGCCACCGTAGTAAAAAACGGGAGAGAATGACAGCTGCAACTTTAAATGATTTAAGTCTTTTGAAATGTTTTTTCAAAAGTCAATATTAATTTGATAAATGTAGAAAAGTTATGTTCATTAATATAATAAAAATAAAAAAATTATAAAACACATAGTTTTTGGAAAATTTAACTTTATTTTCATAGTTTTTACATTTTTGAAAAAATCTCGGTTTTATCTCGGTTTTGTACGAGATCTCGTCTCGCAAAAATATTGTCTCGTATGGACCAAAAACCGAGACGAAAAAAAACCTTCGATTCTGAAAAAAAAAAAGTTTCAAATATAAAGCTGTATAATAACATATCTAAAAGAAAAATTTAAACTAAGCTAAACTAAACTGTTAGTCTTAAACATGATAATAGAGGTTGTAGCTAATTGATTTTTATCTGCTATCAGCTTTTGCTTCAAACTGAAGCTGATCAGCTTAATTTAGGTATGTCCGTGTCAGTCGATTTACGATAACATTTTGTAATCAAATTGCTTGACCATTTTATGATAGCGTGCTTGGCGTATATGTTGTACTACACATAATACATTAATAAATAACACGACAAAACACATCTTACTTATGATGTGTTTTGTCACGTTATTTATTAAAACTTCATATGAACTTAGATATTTTATAAAAGATAGATTATTTAAACTTGTGTTTGTTTTTTTTTGTTATCACTTAATATTAAATATACTTATCTAAAAAACTTTGTTGTTGATCAGATATAAAACTGATATAGAAGGTGTGTTGGTTTTTTTTTTTAAGGTGGTAGAGCACAAAAAAGACACCTTTTTATGAAAAATTTTTTAAAAAGTTTTAAAAATATGGAGAAATACTTCACTAAGAAAAATAAAATGTTTTTGCAAAAATTTTGAAAACTTAACCAAAAATCGATAATGGCGCAAAAACAGTATAAAAAAAGACCTAATTCTTATGTTTTCAAAACACGTTATCCAGCGCCGGCCCGAGGAATTCAAGCGCCTAGGCACGGATTTAAATTGCGACCTTTATGAACTATGCATTTTTATAAATTATAAATCTTTTATTTATTAAATTAAACAGGAACCAATTTAAACTTTATACAATTTTAAAAATTAATTTTTGTTGCCTTTAAATCGGCAAATTTTTTAATTATTTTGGTTATGTCTAATTGTGTTGCTATTTCATTTTCGATGGATAATATAGCTAAGTTATTCAATCGTTCGGCATTCATAGTAGATCGTAAAAAGTTTTTATATTAGCTTTAATTTGCTAAAACTTTTCTCACCACTTGCAACAGTAATTGGTATGGTAAGCATTATTTTTAATGAAATCCAAATGTTTGGAACCGCATTTTGCAATCCACTGGATTTTATAAAGTTCAAGATGTTTAGAGGACGCCCAAGAATATTTTTAGGCAAAAGGGTGGATGCCGATTTTAATTCCTCAAATAATTCTGCGCCATTAATATCGCAATCATTTTCCATTTTTAATTTCGAATGTAGATCTTTGCAAAACTTAAGTAAGTCATTGTCCACAAGTAATTTCTTCAGATTATATAATATTCGCCAAGCTTGGTGAAATTCATTCAGTTGTTAAAATCTTTCTTGAAGAGATGCTATGACATTATCTAAAATAACATTAAAGATGTTGTTCTTAAACTGTTCTTAGGACTTACTACAATCTCATCTTTACCCTCATAAGAAAACATTTGTTTTTACGGCGTAACCTTTTTTCAATAAAAATTGGTTCAACTTTCAAAGATTCAGCCAGCTCTTTTGCATCCTGTAGAGAACATTCAAAACCAGTTATCCAATATTCTGTCACAAATTCCGTACATGATTTCATAAGTGAAACTACTGAGGCTATATCCATGGCTGCAGATTGCATAGATTTGCTAACAATATTTACACAGTATAAAATATTGTACCAGGTAACAAGCATTACCAAAAAATAAAAAGTGCTTATGCGTTCAGATAATGTATAAGCTTTGTGTTTAACGGAAATATCAGAAGAGTCTGTTTCACTCAGTTACTAAAGCATCGTAAATTTCCACTACTTAGTACGGTACTGGTTTTAAATATTCAATTCAACTTTCCTATCGAGTTTCACAAAGT